CGTAAGGGCATAATAAATCAAAAAACAGTTTGTGGGGGGGGAACCAAGAATCGAAATAAAAAACTAATACTATACAATATAAATGCATTTAAAACGAATTCAAACTTAACATACTCATACAGCTGATCATAAAATTCTAAGAAATGAGATCTACTACACAATATTAGGAAACTAGTTATTGAAATGCAAGTATTAAAAAAATGTTAAAGTGTCAAATACTGCTTAAGTGGAAACATCTGGGGATTCATTCAAAAGCGAGGCAGCATTCTTGACGTCAGCAAACAATACTTTGCCGTCCGGAAACATTAGTTTGGCTTTCAGCTCATGTGAGTTCAAAATTTTAAATTTTGTAATAATATTTTGTTTTTGAAGTTTTCTACAAATTGAGTTGAGGTAAGCTGCACCTGGCGAGTAATGCTCGTTAAGATACACACGATTAGTTAAATCCCTACAGGCTCCATCCATTATATCACACGCCTTAAGTGATCTAGTTTTGAAGTATTCCTTCATTATACAGTCACGGGCATGCACATTATTAAATTTGACCAGAATCTGTGCCTTCTTGCTTATGTAAGATACGTGGCTAATGTCACTGCTAGAGATTGGTACGTTGAAAAATGTGCCCAAGGATAGAACAGGGGCAAGAAGATCTTCGATTCCCGCTGGCAATCCACCAATTAACATGTCAGCTCTGTTCAGTCTCCGATGCAACAAATTGATCTCAGCTTGCAGATCAGATAGTTTTGATGATGCATTAGATTCCACATGATTAATACGATCGTTGCAAGTTTTTATGTCACTCCTAATTTCAGTGAAACACGAAGACATTTCATTTTTTATATCATCAAGTGCTGTCTTTATAGAATTTTGTTCTGATTGGTTATTCAATATAAACCCATCAAATTTGGCATTTAAATTGCGAATTTCATCAGCAATGCTGTCACTATTGTGATTGGTGCGGGTGTTTCCATTACATTTAGCACAAATGAAATGCGTATATTTCATAGCACGCAACGCTAATAAGTTTTTATCACTAATCTTGGCACAGGGGGCATGTAGCCATTTGTTACAGACTCCACACAATATACTCCCCTGAGTTTTTGTAATAGTCTCATCACAAGCACCACACTTCGTCATTTTTTCTTCCTTAAACACGTAACAGCGCAGCAAACGGCAGCACAGCAACAAGAAATAGCAGCAACAAAAGCAATCAAGAACAACGAAATAAGCAACCAGCAAAATTGTTACGTAAGAACGCCACAATAAGAAACCGCTTGATGAAAATGATGATGATTTAATGATGATTAAATGATTTATCATACGAACTCCAGGTAATTTGTGTCGGACTATTAATAAATTGCAAGAATTTAGTGCAGCGAAATATATAACAACGATCAGTGCGAATAAAAAAAGATAATTTAGCGAATGATCAGCTGCAATGAAAAAAAACACGACTACTCAGGCATAGTGTTGCCAGATTACTTAACCCGAAATCGGTTGAATATATATATATATATGGGAGCTATATCCAAATCTGAGCCGATCTTGATAAAATTTGGCAGAGGTATTAAAACCCCAAATCGGATGAAACATATATATGGGAGCTATGGCCATATCTGAACAAAAATTTAATGTACTTGCTTCTAGATTGAATTCGGTTGGTGTGGGAAAATTCAGGTCATTTGGACTTATATTGGCCATTTGATGCACAATTAACACGAAATCGGTTAAATATATATGGGAGCTATTTTGTTGTTGCAAAATGGTCAGGCTTAATCCCTTTATTGTTGTTTTTATAAAAAAAACAACGTTTGTTTATTAGTGGAGAACGATGGTAATGTTTACCAGGGGGTAAGGCAGGGAATACCTAGGTTTCGGAAAGAGCCACCAATCCTCATCAGTTCCCTTGGTTTTTGTCTGGGATATTCTCCCCAGAAGTTATTTTAAAAATAACTTCTATGACAAAAAAACATTTTTTACCCAAGTGACGAGATCATAAGCTCAATAGAAGAGGAACCAAAGCATTAAATAAAACTAAAATTCATTTGGGAAGTCTTCTAAATTTTACAACCGTTCAAGCTGAACGAAGTAGCATAACCATGTAAGTTGGTTTTGTCTATTACAAAAAAATCTATTAATAGAACAGTGTGGCTTGTTTGTTCGGGATACCGTAGTACTTTGTTGTTGTAAAATGGTCAGGTTTTATCCCTTTATTGTTTTTTTTTTTTTTTTAATAAAACATCGTTCTCCACTAATAAACAAACTTTGTTTTTATAAAAACAGCAATAAAGGGATAAAGCCTGACCATTTTTCTAAAAACTAGCCACACTGTTCTATGGGAGCTATATCTAAATCTGATCCGATTATCACCAATATTAATAGGTTTCGTCCTTGGTCCAAACAAATATTGTTTGCAAAAATTCATCTCAATCGGATAATAAATGCGACCTTTTTTTTTCACGAGAATACATGGACGGACGGACGGACTGACTGACATGCATAAATCGACTCGGAAAGTGATTCTATGAATATCCCCAGAAGTAACTATGGGCCTATCTGGCTTCCTTCTCCCTGTTCCAAACAAATGCACAAAGACATATAACCCTTACCACTATGTGGCGTAGGGAATAAAAACGCTAATTTTAAAGAACCCCCACAACGCAATGTTAATTTCAATAGAATAAACAATTTTCCACAACGAAATTTCACATCGATTTGGCTGACAACATCATCGAAGCTAATACCAATTCATTTCCACATTTAGTCATTGTTGTATCATGCATTAAGTCATAAAAATTCCATTTTGAGTTTAAATATTAAGCCGGGACATACCTAACTAAGAAACAATTACCTTATGTCTAAATGCAAGCCAAACTACATTCCCTAACAAAGCAAGAAAATGCCAACGATTATATCTACAAACATTGCGACTGTAAACAAAAAATTCGCAACAACAATTTAATTTGATCACATATCAGTGATTGCATAATCAAAAGAAGAACCACTCACAGATCACAATGAAAATAAAAACAAAACTTCCTTTTCTTTCTTTTAAATAGGAAAAAGCTTTATAACTTAACATTTATTACTCGTTTTAAGATGCCACATTGCATTTTCTATATCTGTTCTATATTAATCATCCTGCTTATAGCATGGCCAAAATGGCAGCCAAAGCAAACGAAACACCAACCATTGCATAACCAGTGGAATAGACTTCTTTGATTTTCAAGAAACGACCAGTGTCCCACAACAAATGGCGCACACCGTTAGCAGTGTGGAAGGCCAAGGGATAGGCAATCATGAACTTCAAGGCAGTCAAAGTGCCAGCGCTCAGGTGCAAGCCTTCGATCACAGAAGCATAGTTGGCAATGTCTTGGGGTGAGGTGAGAGCAGCCAAACCCAAAGCCCAGACACCGGCTGTGAGAGCAATGCCAGTACCACGATGGGTAATTGACAACATGGAGGTCAACTGGGGCTTGTAAATTGTCAAATGGGGAGACATCTCGCGTTGCAAGCGATTATTTTTGTCGAAGAAAGTCTCATTTTTCACTGTTGAGGCAGCAGGTACAACTTTCATCGAAACTTCTCTCAGGTTTTGGGCCTGGGCCATTTGAAGGCCCTGGCGAAGGGCTGGGGAACGAACCAAGGAACGTGTGATAGCAAACCTAGAAGTAAGCGCATTAACTGAAAATATCTCTTTGGAATTATATAAAAAACTTACATTTTTCGGCTCAACAGAAAATATTTACGATAGAAAAATACCTGAAGACTGTCTCTTCTTCTTTTTGCTGGGTTATGTGTCAAATGTGTAGTCACTTATTGGAGAATTGTTCTTATGGTAATCTACTACAATATTGTAGCGTTATTGCTATGTAAGTAGTGAACGACGTGGTGTATGTTAAAGGCGTTACAAAAGACTGATTTTTAAATGGTGTGGTTAAAAATAATAAAAAAAATTGAACGATTTGTTTACTTTTAATAAAAATTAAAATGTGGAAGGTGACCATAGTGACAGTTACTTTTTTGATATGGTGATTGGTTTTATATTCTTTATATTTTCGTACTATTTCAAAAAAATTTGGATCAAGTTTTTAAAAAAATTTATGGTGAGAATATATAAAACGCATTTCAGATCGGCTTAAGTTATCGGCTGGGTTTTTTGTAAAGAGCAAAGAAATTTTAGGTTGATTTTGATCCATTTCGGTCCATAATTTATACTTGTTCACACTATGGTCCTTTGTCCTTTTACACAGAAGCTGGCCGATGACTCAATCCAGTGAAAAAAAACGTTTTATGTATTCTCACCTCAACAGATATGAGACTACTTCCTGGAAAATTGTAGATTTTTTAAAACATTAATGTATAGCAATTTAAATGTTTAAGCTTACATTGTCTTCAATTTCTGTGTAAAAAAATTCTAAGAATAATATTGTCTTGTTGAAAAATTAAATAAGTACCTGAACACATTATTTATTTTTTAAACAGTCTATTTTTTCGCACAATTTAACTGATTGTATGGACAACACTATTTATCCGTTAATCTATTACAAATATGCTTGATAGATAATTGTGGAGATTTCATGTGATTGGCAATTCATTTCACAGTTGTACTAAGCAATATTATTTGATAAAATATATTGAGTAAAGTATCAATTGAACACTCAAATGGATTGTTGGGAAACACTTTATTGTATCCCCATTTCATGCCGAACAACAAATTATCAACTTCCTGTTGCTACTTCTCTTGATATTGACAAATGTTGTCGCTCTTTCTACTACCTTTTTTCATATGTGATTGGCAACACTGACGCCATTTTTTCAAGCATTCGAGGCTATTCAAGCATGTGGAAGCATTTTTCTTTCTTTTCGCTGTTGAATTGAGCGCGTGGCAAACGTCGGTCCGGATTATTCCCAAATTTTTGTCCTCTCGGTGTGCGACCCGTAAACGAATTTTTATTTTTCTACCTTTCTACTGAAACAAAAAAACCAAACACCTCAACATGAGAATCTACAAGGACATCATCACCGGTGACGAAATGTTCGCTGACACCTACAAAATGAAGTTGATCGACGATGTAATGTATGAGGTGTACGGCAAAGTCGTCTCCCGCTCCGAGGGCGATATCAAAATTGAGGGCTTCAATCCATCGGCCGAAGAAGCTGACGAAGGTACCGATACCAACGTTGAGACTGGTGTCGATGTTGTCATGAATCACCGCTTGCAAGAATGCTTTGCCTTCGGCGACAAGAAAAGTTACACCATCTACTTGAAGGACTACATGAAGAAGGTCTTGGCTAAGTTGGAAGAGAAATCCCCCGACCAAGTCGATGTCTTCAAGACCAACATGAACAAAGTCATGAAAGACATTTTGGGCCGTTTCAAGGATTTGCAGTTCTTCACCGGTGAATCCATGGACTGTGATGGTATGGTCGCCTTGTGCGAATACCGTGACATTGACGGCGAAAGCGTGCCCGTATTGATGTTCTTCAAACACGGTTTGGAAGAAGAGAAGTGCTAAAAAGAAATTCAACAACTAAATTCAGCCAGCCAGCCTATCACATCTCTTTTTTATACAGTCGCATTAAATTATAGTTTCAATTTTATATATAAATTAATTTAAGTACGCCAACCAACCGGACGACCATGTTTTCTTTGGATACAAATTGTTTGTTTGCTAATGTAACATTTTGATTTGATTTTATGAAATTTGTTTAAACAAAAGAAGAAGAAAGAAAAAGATATAAGACTCAATTTACATGTAAAACAAAAGAAAAAATATCTAAGATAAAAAAAAAACTATAATAAAATTATGTATTTAAAACAAGTAACAATATGAGAAAAAAAGAAACGAACCAAAAACCTTCATATCTTATGGTTGGGGACAACAGACATATTGTAGGCTTGTGAGGCCATGTCTACCATGACCCACTCAACTTCCATATTCTTTTGTGGTGGCTTGGAAGCATGGACTGCTGTAAATTTGAGTTCGAATTGGCAAACAAATTGTAATTGAAGGAAAATATTGAAAGAACATCGCATTTGCAAAAATAAAGAAGAAAAAAAAAAAAACAATTAATTTTCGATGAGTCATTTTTCTTTTGTGGTAGTATGTTTGTGTGAGTGTATTGACGCCGAAGACAATGTGGCTTTTCGCGACATGTCGAATGATTTGCTGAACTTTTACCTTCCACCCAAAACGTGTTGTTGTGTATTCTAAAAAAGATTTAGGTTAAGGCGAATCAGATAACCTATTTTTTCGTGCATTCATATGCATTTTCTAGAGGCATTTTGCACTTCCTTTTGCAATCTTTATTTTCGCACAAAACGACAACAACATAACCTCAAAAATTCGTTGAGACATTAAGGTGGGTTGTTGTTTTTGCAAAAATGTTGTGCTCGTTTGAGTAAACAACACACAATCATGATTACCTGTTGTCTGCTGTTTGATGGAGGACACACACAAAACGTGTGTGCGCTTAGCGATAAAGAAGAATTGCCACGGTGTGATGAGGTTTAGTAAAATTGTTGTTGTTTCTTTGATCCATGTATGGAAAAAATTATAGGGGATTATTACTAATTATTTATACTTGTGAGAATCGTTATCGCCACTACTTGTTGATGTGTACTTTTTTAGTTTTAAAATCTGTTTTGGACAAATATGACCTTGATCAGTTTTAATTTAAATGGTGAAGTCAAAAAGAATGTCTTGGATAGTAAGGATGGATTAGTAGTTAGGAATATTCAAATGGAATGGGCTCTTTAGCACAAATTTGGTGAAAATAAAGGATGTAAAGTGTTTCGAAAAACGTCCCTAATGGCTTGCCTCAGTAAAGCAATTTCAATTTCGAAACAACACTTATCCCTAGTTTAGTAAACAAATCTCGGATTTTTTCAATAATGTACCCTGCATCCGGGAAGGTATTTTGATCTTGGAACGAAGCCAGGTACTCTGATATTCGACCCGAAAGTTTGGGTTCAGGATCCGGATCTACTAAACCGATATAAATAATCAATTTTTTGTCCCGGCCTTATTATAGAAGTTCTCAATATAAAATAAAAAAACAGTAAGAAAAGGACAAAAGTTGGGCTGGGCCAACTATTTGATACCCTACACCACTATGAGTATTTAGTAGAGCACCGTAAGAAAAAATTTCGTATTGTGAAGTTGTGTGATCAAATATAAACCTCATCTGAATACGTAGCATGGTTTTAGAGTAGTCACAATTTGGAAACTATATCCAGCTCTGAATCGATTTTCAACAAATTTGACGGTGGCTTTTGTATCTCTAGTCCCAAATAATGTTGCTGTATAGTGTTTGATTATATTAAAAAATATTTAGTGGAGCAATACATATACTGGGCCGAGTTCCACCAAATGGAAAAATCTATGTAATTTGGGCTGATATTACATATCGCGTTGCTACCAAATTTGGAAACTTTAGATAGCGAATATAGTTGTTAGATCTTAAATCACCAGGACCAGGAAAAGATAATCCATACATGAAATAACTTTCTGACTGAGAGGCAACGCCGAGACGGCTAAAGCTGGAATCTTGAAACTCATGGTGCGTAGGCACATAATACGGGCGGGTTTTTAAAAACTCGTACTAAAAGGGTACGAAAAGTACTAAAAAATGAATACTTCCTTTTGGACAAACGGAAAGGGTTATGGAAATTCGAACTTTAAGGTTACGGATAAAGTTAAAAACTTGAAATGGAATGAGAACCAAGGTTGGAAAGAAAGTTTTCTATAAGAAAATGGTTTTGGAAATGTGTACTTAGTGTGCGAACTGTACTAAAAATATGGAACAGGCTGGTTTATGATAAACGGATGAAGGTGGAATTTGCATTGGGGTCCCTGTTGTTGGTAGGTTTGTGATAAAGAAGTGGTTATGAAATGCACAAAAAGAACTAAATAGTACTATATTTGGTACAATTTGGTATTGGGTGAACAGATAGTGCTTGAATTTGGAAGTTTGGTATTACGGTCGCTGTTCATTTGTAGACAGGACATATGGACGTGGTTTAGGAAATTATGCGAAAAGTATTCAACGGTACTATGTTTGGAATTGTGTGTAGGGATATAAATATAATTCTGAAATTTCATATTTATATTACAAATGGAATCTGTGTTTGAGATTTGGCTGTTTAGAAATGTTTCCCATATTTGTATGAATAAAACCAAATGTTACTAAATTTGGTATTGGGTGAAGGGATAGAGATGAAATTCTGAAATTTGATATTGGTATCTGTAGTTAAGCGAGTATCTGTTATCTCCAAAATGAAAGATTTTAAAGTCTTCTTGGTGTAAAATTTTTGTCCTAAGAAAGAAATATATTAATATATATGAATAATATATAAATCCTTGAAAGTCTGAACATTTAGTACGAGGCATGGCATAATTACAGAAGGTAGATCATATGGTCCGTTCTAGAACCTGCAAGGATCTACTAGTTTTGCAATTTTCTCCGATATTACAAAGGGAAAATCGGTTATCGTAGTGAAAACTTTTACATTCTTGCAGTTCTGAAACAGACCAAAAGCTACCTCTTAAATACATTTTTTTTGGTGTCCTTATTCTATCAAAACATATATACATTTTGTGTATGTGTGTGTATTGTATTGAATAAAAAATACAACAATTTGAAATTATTTCAAATTCGGTTGAAAAATAAATGCATGTTTTCGACGTTAATGGACAACACACAATTTTAGGATAAAACTGTATTGTCCTACAATTTTAGATTCAATCTTGTGGAATAACCCCAAAATTGCATTCTTTTGTCGCGATTGTCCCAATATAAGAATTTTGTTTAAAAAAAATAAAAGTAAACAAAACCAACTGTTGCATATTTAAAAGTCTATTTGAATTTAAAAGGCTCTAGCACAGAGTTGTATTTTTCTAATTTCTTTGAAGTTGAGCAACCTTTCTTATTGAACCACGGTGCGAGGCATGAATTTTTGATTAAAAAAATTTCTCAAGCCGAACAAATTGTGCCGTTTGAGTCCTAAAAAGGCCTAACGAACGAATGCAAAATTTTAAGGTTGGCTTTTCGCTTTCTAGTAAGAAATATTTTTTTCAAAAGTTCTTCTCCTACCCACTAAGAATGCGGTGTGTAAAATCCCAGCTGAATTTTGTGAAAATTTGGTCAATTACCCTCAAAATACTGAAAATGAAGAGCTATCATTATATCGAATATTTTTACGATGAGTTTAGTGCCCACTCAGATCCAGGACTGATACCTGATTTGGTTGCAAGATACCGATAATCACGAAGTATTGTCCTGCATTATTATCAAATTGCTGCTGATTTGTGTGAAAATTTGAAATACTGGAAATCAGAAGAAATCTGGATTTCAACAAGGGAATATGTCCAATTAGACATGGGTGGAATATGCGGCATTAATCTGAAAACAGATGGTGTAAGTCTATACTGAATTTAATTGCATTCCATAAATGCGCCCTTCGACTGCTCAAAAGCATCATACTTAAAATTGCAATAAAAACCACAAAATAACATAAAAAAGTACTCTCATATATTTACAGTTTTCGTTCATTTCCATTTGTTTTGTTTTTACAATATGTATTTAATATATAGTAGCGATGTACATATTTCGGCAACTGTTCGTTGAACTTTTTGTTTTTGTAACTCTATATTTGTAAAACAATGCATGTTTTTTGTTTTGTTTTCTTTAAATATGTTTGTTGTTATAAAATAAGACAGTCCATGATAGTGATTACTATTTCTCTTCATTAAGATCATTGTTTTCTGAAATTTGTTCTAATTTAGCACATGCTGGTAGGTGTGTTTGACGATTACAAATAGGTGTTACTTATTTATATATAGAGCTTTTGTTACAGTTTTATTTGAGAAATGTATGTGTGTATGGAATGCAGTTTAGTGTAGAAAAAGTTTTGTTAAATAAAAACAAGAAAAATTAAATATATAATTGGCTTTAGGAAAACTTAATACAAAAAACGTTTAACTTAATAAAAAAGGACAAATTTAAATATTGCTAGACGGCTTATTGGAAATCTTGTGAGTCAAGTTTCAACGCAAGTATTTTCTATACTCTTATAGATAGTTTTTATTAAAAACTAATTTTGTTTTGTAGTTTGGACATAGGAGCAGGTGGTGACAAGGTGAAAGGAGGGACAAGACAACAAGAAGAACTTTCAATATTGTAAATTGGTATATTCTAAATCAAATCATAAGGGCTTATGTACAAAATCTATAGAGAATTATCACACGTAGTCTAGTTGTATGTAGACCTGTTTAACACCTATCGACTCGAAAATCATGCGAGCATGTGTAACAACATATTTGGGATCGATATTTCTTGATACTTCTAATTTGATTGCTCCTACATAGGTATCGGAGCATAACGTCCAAAAGTGAGGTTCTTGCACTGCATACACACCAGCCAAACCGGTAACCTTTTGGTAGCACTGAGGTAGTAAACGATCTAAAGCAACCGGCTGGCGTTGCATTAGTACATATATTGATTCCTTGATCAGACTCATTACCGACAATACAATGAGTACTGAGATGAAGATTGAACAAATTGGATCGGCAATCATCCAGCCGAATAAATGCATTAATACTGCCGATATAATAACACCAACTGAGCCGAGTGTATCGGCCAAAATGTGTAGGAAGACACCGCGCATAATTTGTGAATTACTGCCACCTCCGGATAGATCATCGCCATGTGAATGACCATGGGAATGTGAGTGGCCGTGTCCTGTAAAAGAAAACAATTTACAAGATTAGCAAAATAAACCAAATCAAAAAACGTTATCAGACTTTTCAAAACAAACTTTTCCGTAAATTATTCAATTCATTCTTACCATCATCCATAGAAATAGCCTGATGCCCATTGGCATCAATTAATGGACTGCTGCTACCATGCGAGTGTCCATGACCACCATGTGAATGACCGTGACCGCCACCACCATGTGAATGTCCATGGCCACCACCATGATTAAAGGCATAAATACCAACTAGATTCACTAACAAGCCCAACACAGATACCACAAAAAGTCGTTCATGCTTGACTTCTGGTGGTTCTATGAGACGTTCTACGCCCTCGGACAATATAAAGAATGCTACAAATATCAGAAACAGGCTATTAACAAAACCAGCCAAGACTTCTGCCCTCACATAGCCATAGGAGAAACGTTCATTAGCCCTCCATTTGGTGATCACTGATGCTGCCAGACCCGCCAACAAGCCCGTACAGTCAAAGAACATGTGAAACGAATCCGATATGAGACCTATAAAAATCAAAGCACAATATATTAGCTTATCTGTACACAATCTTTGACAAATCATTAGCGTAAACAGATACGATTGTGGTTATCTTATCTTAACCCAACTACTTACCCAAACTATTGGTCAAAATTCCGTAGAACAGCTCAACAAATGCAAAACTTAAATTTAACATAAGAAAAAGAAATAAATTCCGGGAATTTTTATCTGAGAATATTAAACGCTTCCAGCTTTTGAGTGTCTCCTTGATGCGATAGGCGAAATTACCGCGATCTCTATGTGTCAGGGGAAGCATGGTCATGGCTTTTTAAATTATCTGCAATTAACAAACGACGGTTAAACAATTATCGGAAACATATTCTTGGATTACGGTTAATCTTTGCATACGTGGTGTTTACATTCATTCTCTCTTACCCGTGTTTGTCCGTCGTGTTTTGTTGTCTCTGGCTGGCTGGATGGATGTCAGAACGTCTTGTTTTTTGCAGGCAACTACTTAAATAGTTTGTATGGTTTGTTGATAGCTAATGCTTCTCAGTGGCCTCAGGAGACCTTTTCTTAATTAGTATTTTATTTAAAAAATTAACATTTTCCTTAAGTTTTTCCAAAATCAGGTTAATCAAAGGTAAAATACAAAAATATATATGTGAGAATCAATTAAATTGACGTTTTGATGACACTCCAAATAAGAGTTGCCAAGTTGAAAGTTAACTTGAAAGAGTAACCGGTTAATTGTTTACAAAAAGAGAGAATCATTCTAAAGCGAGTAAATACCTAATAGCATGTTTCCATTGGAAACCGAACAACGTTGTTCGCTCTCAGAATTAGGTACACGAATTAACCCGTTCATACGGCACGATTCGTAATTCATAGTAAAATAATTCCTTTTTTAAAAAAAATTGTTTGTTGATTTTTAAGGGAATTTATACGAAAATACATGAAATTCTCACTAATATGAATATAAGAAATGTTTGTTTTTCTCCCAAAGATTTATTATATCATTAATTTTACAATTTTCATTCACGTTTTCAACTTTTTGTGTAAATGTTGACATTTTGAACATATTTTTGTGTTTTTCCATTTTTAAATTCTGCTGAAGAGACACTTGTCAAATATTTTTTCTGCCGATAGAAACATTTTGAAAATATTGACTATTTTGTTTGCAGTTTTCTGTAGAAATTTTAACTCGTGGACCAAATGCGTACCTCGAATGAGAGAGAAAACAAAATTTACTTTCGTTTGAATGTACATACGCCATTCAACATTGTAGTTTTCATTCATAATTTTCAGTCTTCCCAAAAATTTTTAAAATTTCATTAAATTTTTCTATTTATAATTTTTAAATGTCATAATTTATTTTTTCGATAAATGCTCTCATTTGTTAGTACTGGGACATATTTTTCGTTGTTCTGAGAGTGATTTGATTTGAACAACGTACAAATATGAGTGTTCGCTCAGGAAATTTTGTGTGAAGAATTAGGTAGTTTTTTCATAGTTAAGGGTCAAACAACGAATAGAGAGCGAATCAAGTGCAGTGGAAACGCCACATAAAACTGGCTTAAAACCACAAAATTAAGGCAAAGCTTAAATGCAAAAGCTTGAGAATTCTTGCATTTGTGAAAAAACAAATGGTAAAATTAAAAATTAGATCATATAGGGTATTGCAAAAGCTTGATAATTAATGCATTTATAATAAAAGTAAAACAAATAGTATAATTAAAAAATGAAAGGGATGTTATTGGCGCCATTAAAAGAATGCCTTAACAGAGAGACCACACTAGCTTTGCGTTGTTTCAGAGACTTCAAAAATCATAAATGAAAAATCTGTTTTGACTGCTGGGACAATGAACTGCCAAACTGATTTTGAAATTGAAAATGTTGAATGAAAATGTATTGAAATTTGTAAAAATTGTTGAAAAATGCATAATCTAACAACCTCCTATTGGCGCCGTATAAAAAACATTTAAAAATCTACTTATTTTTGATAAAACATTTAAAAAATATTGACATATCAATGTTCTCAAGCGTTGATGCATCTACCTATATTCTTCTACCATGTCTAGATCATGCAATAAATCCTGATAATATGGATTAATCCGAAAAAATATTGTATCTGAACATGTAATTACGTTAATACAAGGCTTTTGGTTTTCAACAATTTACCGTATATCACCATTATTTTTTCCGTAATTGTTATTTATATTTTCGTATAAAATAGAAAACACAAAAGGAATTGCCAAAAAAAATTGCCTGTACGAGAATTTTTTTCTTATTTCCATTGCTCTTAGATCTCTCTCTCATTGCTACTAGTCAACTTTGCTTTAGGCCAGTTTATTTGTGACAAGTCTCTGTTTGTAGGAGGGAGGAGTAAGGGGTATTGCTCTAATATTAAATTTAATTATTTTTGTATAACTCGATATAAATTAAGAAACTTAATTAAATACTGAAAACAAAATCAAAACATCAGCAAGATTTCCTCATTAATATCTTACAATTTTCTCCTATCTTAAATAGCTAATTCCAATTGCAATTTATTACCCCTCAAACTCGACAGCACATTGGCAACCCTGCCACAAATGAAGAACTACTACAACACAAACTGTCAAATGCCGGGTGAAAGCATTGAGAAGAAAGAGATCAAAACAAACTCGTAAAAGTTTTTCACATCTGTTGTTTAAAAATAGAATTTTGAAAATTCCTTCGGCGACGATTTCCTCAATTCTCTCACATGCAATTCAATTGTTCTGAAAAGATCGTGGGTGATCGAGAAAATTCGGGTCAAAAGAAAATTTGTTTTCTGTGAAGAGTGGGGAAAATCTATAAAAGGTACAATTGCAGCCAACACATTTGGTAATAACTACGAGATACGTGACTCATAAAGATAATAAATATTAACAAAATTGAGATATTTTCAATATTTGTGTTCTTGTAGAATCAACGGAAAGTGAAAACCATTGAATATTTAACGTAATGACAAGTTCGAATGCAACAGATGACCAACAGCAAGGGGCGGAGGCTCTAACCTATAAAGATAAAGGTAATCAGGCCTTTAAAGATGGCAAATACGATGAAGCCATCAAATTGTACACACAGGCCATAAAGAAGGGTGAAAAACATAAAGAGTTACCAATATTCTATAAGAATCGGGCTCAGGCCTATTTGAAGGAGTCCAAATGGGAAGAAGCCTTGGCTGATTGTAATGAATCATTGAAATTGGCACCGAAAGACCCGAAAGCCTTATTCAGACGTGCCCAAGCCTACGAAGGTTTGAAGAAGTATCCCGAAGCCTACAAAGATGCCACAGATTTGTTTAAGGCAGATCCCGGTAATCAGTCCGTGCAACCAATGCTGAAACGCTTGCATTTGATTGTCCAGGAAAAAGCTGCCGAAAATGCCAAGACTTCCAACAAAGTACAACAAATGATGGAATTGGCCTTTGAAATGGCAACACCCATTGATAAACGCCGTTCGGCGGTGAACAATCTCTTAGTTTTAGCCAAAGATGAAGTTGGTGCTGATATGCTGTACAAGGCTGGATGTATTCCGAAAATTGCATCAATTACAAAGGTGGAAAAAGACGCCGATATTTATGTCAATTTTGTACGTGTGGTAGCGGAATTGTGTGCCAATTCAGTGGACCGCACCAAGGGTGTTCTAACCGAACTGGGTGTACCATGGTTCATGCGGGTGCTCGATCACAAGCACGAAGAACGTGTTTCAGCTGCTCAATATTGTTTACAGACAATTCTCAATGCCCTCTCTGGCATGGACATCAAACCCGATAGCAAACCCAACAAGGAATTGGTTAAGGAGAATCAAAAGGAAATCGATACCATGCTGTCATGTCTCTTGTACAGTGTTACAGATCGTACTATTTCGGGACCTGCACGTGATGCTGTTATTGAATTGCTAACACGTAATGTCCACTACACAGCTCTGGAATGGGCTGAACGTTTGGTAGAGTTAAGAGGTCTTTTCCGTTTGTTAGATGTATGCTCCGAGTTGGAGGAATATAAATATGAAAGTGCCATGGACATTACACCCTCTTCGCGTACTATTGCATCAGTCTGTTTGGCTCGCATCTATGAGAATATGTATCACGATATAGCCCGTGGCCGTTTTATGGAGCAAATTGATGAGTACATCAAGGACAAGCTATTGGATCCTGATCTAGAGTCCAAGGTTAGAGTAACAGTTGCCATTACTTCCCTGTTGTTGGGTCCTTTGGATGTGGGTAATCAAATTATTGGCCGAGAAGGTATTCTACAAATGATTTTGGCCATGGCCACCACCGATGATGTTTTGCAACAGAAAGTGGCCTGTGAATGTATCTATGCCGCTGCCTCCAAGAAGGACAAAGCAAAGGCCTTGTGTTCCGGTGGTGTGGATATTCTGAAGAAGCTCTATCACTCCAAGGATGATGGTATACGTGTTCGTGCCCTGGTGGGTCTTTGCAAAATTGGTAGTTATGGCGGTGAAGATGCAGGCATTCGTCCATTTGCTGATGGCGCCAATCTAAAGTTGGCTGAAGCTTGTCGTCGTTTCCTCATCAAACCCGGTAAAGATAAGGATATTCGCCGTTGGGCTGCGGATGGTTTGGCCTATTTGACATTGGATGCTGAGGTCAAGGAGAAATTGATTGAAGATAAGGCTGCAATTCATGCTCTTATTGATTTGGCCCGCACCGGAGATCAGTCGTGTTTGTATGGTGTGGTCACGACTTTTGTGAATCTATGCAATGCCTATGAGAAACAGGAAATCTTACCGGAAATGATTGAATTGGCCAAATTTGCCAAGGTTCACATACCCGAAGAACATGACTTGGATGATCATGACTTTGTACAAAAACGTATTGCAGTCTTGGCCAATGAAGGCATTACCACAGCCCTGGTGGCTTTGTCAAAAACGGAAAGCAATAATTCACGTGAGCTGATTGCACGTGTGCTCAATGCCGTTTGCAGTCTGCAAGAATTGCGTGGTAAAGTTGTTCAGGATGGTGGTGTTAAGTGTCTGTTGAAATTGGCTCTAGAGGGTACAGACAAAGGTAAACGTCATGCTTCGCAGGCCCTGGCACGTATTGGCATTACTATCAATCCCGAAGTAGCCTTTGCCGGACAAAGAAGTTTGGATGTCATTCGACCTCTATTGAATTTATTGCCACAGGAATGCACAGCATTGGAGAATTTTGAAGCCCTGATGGCCCTCACAAATTTGGCAGCTATGAATGAAACTGTACGCTTGCGTATACTCGAAGAACAAGGTTTGACGAAAATTGAATTCTACCTAATGGAAGATCATGAATTGCTCACCCGAGCGGCGGCCCAATGTCTCTGCAACATGGTGATGTCCGATGAGGCAATCAAGAAGTTCGAAGGCGACAATGATCGTGTGAAATTCTTGGCCTTACTTTGTGAGCTGGAAGACGAAGAAACGGTTAAGGCGTGTTCCGGTGCCCTGGCCATATTGAGTTCTAGTTCAAAGAAATGTATTAAAAAGATCTTCGACATTAAAAATTGGCTTGAAATTTTACATGTTCTCATCGCCAATCCCAGTCCCGCGGTACAACATCGTGGTGTTGCTCTCATATTGAATATGATCAATGCCGGCGAAGATATTGCCCGGGAACTTTTGCAAACAGATATTATGGAATTGTTGAGCGGTCTTTCGCAGTTACCTGACGAAAGTCG